CGCACGACCACAGGATAGAGTTAGAACCGGGGGCACAGCCGACAGTACAGCGACAGTTTCGAGTGACCCAACCCGAACTGGACGAACTGAGGAAGCAGCTGGATTACCTGCTCGAGAAGGAGTTCATTCGCCCTAGTTCGTCACCCTTCGCAGCACCAATACTGTTCACACCGAAAAAGGACAGGGGATTTCGCATGTGCATAGACTACAGAGCACTGAACTGGGTTACCATCAAATCCCGTTACCCCATCCCGCGAGCCGACGAACTGATCGACCAACTGCGCACAGCCCGGGTTTTCTCGAAAATCGACCTCCGAGGGGGTTACCGCCAGATTCGCGTCAACCCACCCGACTGCCCTAAGACAGCTTTCCGAACACGCTACGGATCCTTCGAATACACCGTCATGCCCTTCGGACTGACCAACGCCCCCGCCACCTTTCAAATGACCATGAACGAAGCTTTTCGCCCGCTTTTAGATAAGTGTGTCATCGTATACCTGGACGACATACTGATTTACAGCCCTGACAGAGCACAGCACTTACAAGACATCGAAGCAGTTTTTAAGATACTGAGTGAGAACCGCCGACTGACCAAAGCGCCTAAGTGTGAGTTTTTACAGGACCGCCTGGAGTTTTGGGACACATTATTTCAGCTGCAGGAGTGGAAATAGACCCGAAGAGAATTGCGACGATTCAAGCATGGCACGCGCCGACCAGCTTGACCGAGTTGCAGAGTTTTTTGGGGTTCGTCAACTACGTGCGCCGGTTCGTCCCCGACATGGCGAAGCTGACTGCCCCGTTGACTGACCTGCTGAGAAAGGGGGTTGAGTACACGTGGGTGGAGAAAGAGCAAGCTGCCTTCTCGACCCTCAAAAACATTTTGTGCTCACCGCCCGTGCTCCACATCGCAGATCCACACCGTCCGTTCTAGCTCGTCACCGACGCAAGTGACATCGCTGTGGGAGCAGTATTGTTGCAGGATTTCGGGAACGGCCTCCAGCCAATCGCGTACGAGTCCCGCAAGCTGCACCCGCCCGAACGCAACTACCCGATACACGACCGCGAAATGTTGGCGATCGTGCATGCGTTCAAGGTTTGGCGGTGTTACCTGACTGGCGCCGACGTGACAGTACGGACAGACCACCGATCCCTACAGTACCTGCGTGCCCAACCAAATCTCAATCCGTGACAGATTCGCTGGTTGGACTACCTCGAGTCCAACTTCCACTACACGGTTACGTACAAAAAAGGTGCATCCAACATCGGCGACGCACTCACCCGCCCTACCGCCCAACTCCATGCCATCCTACTCGCCCAAACCAACCCGCTTTTAACAGGCCTATTCACCCACGGATACCGCACCGACCCATTTTTCACGACCGGAAATTCACAGCAACTGGCAGAAGCTAAAGGAGTTTATTACGTAAAAACGGGCACCAACCGCATCTGGGTACCCGCGTACTCACTACTGAGGGAGCTGCTACTGCAGGAGGCACACGACGGAATTACCTCGGGGCATTTTGGGGTAGAAAAAACGCGACAGCAACTGCAGCGGTATTACTACTGGCCGGAGCTGTTAACCGACGTGCAGCAGCACGTGGGCTCGTGCCCCACGTGTCAGGTGATGAAGAGCTCGAGGAAGCGGAAGGCGGGTCAACTGCAGCCGATACCACCGCCCAAGCGCGCCTGGCAGCAGGTTACCATGGACTTCGCCACGGGGTTACCTTCGAACCCTGGGGGTAACGACGCGGTGATGGTCGTCGTTGACAGGTTGACGAAGATGGCACACTTCGCTGCGTGCAAAAAGTCAGTCTCAGCTGAGGAGACCGCTCGCCTGTTTATCGCAACCGTTGTTCGCCTACACGGGATACCAGCAGCGATTATCAGCGACAGGGACACGAAGTTCACTAGCAACTTCTGGAAGAATCTCTGGGAGCAGTTCGGAACACGGCTACAGTTCAGCTCGTCGTACCACCCCGAGACCGACGGTCAAACGGAGTGGACGAATCAGACGATGGAGCAGTTGATTCGTGCCACGTGCGACGACCCGAACACTTGGGAGCAGCAGCTGCCGCTGATTGAATTCGCGTACAACAACGCCACGTCAGTGACGACGCAGCAGTCCCCCTTCTACCTGAACTACGGGCAAAACCCTACAGTGCCCATGACGCCGAGTCCGGACAACCCAACACCACGTGCACAGCAATTCGCCGAAATACTGCAAGCTGCCCTCACCAGAGCCGCAGAAGCAATTAAAAAAGCAAATGTCATCGCTAAGCGCAACGCTGACCGCCACCGCCGCCCAGTCACATACCAGTCGGGGGATTACGTACTGCTCGACACGCAGAATCTGCGACTGCCCGACGTACCGAAACTTCGACCGCGCTACTGTGGCCCATTCCAAATCAGCCACATGATCACGCCAATAACCTCGCACTTACTGTTACCGACCGACTGGTACATCAGCCCATCGTTCCACGTCAGCCTACTTCGCCCGTACATCCCCACCTCCAGCCAACTGCCTCGTCACCGCCCGCATTCCATGACTCGCCCTGCATCGGAGCCGATCATCGAGCTCGAAAAAATCCTGAGCCATCGGATTCGCCACACCATGGGAATCAGGAGGATTGAATTCCTCGTTCGCTGGAAGGACCGCACGCCAACTGAAGATAGCTGGGTGCCCCTGGCCAACATCGAAAACCACCCTGCCCTGCAAGTGTACCTGAGGAGCCGGGGATTCCGCGATATACACGCACTCACGTAGCGGAGGGGGCTTCTTGAGGGGGGAGGGGAGGGTAAGAAATTTTCTCGGCATTCCTTACGCAGTCCGACTACATTGCATACAGCAACAGCCGTTGTTCGCCCGTTACTGCTAACGGGGCTTCGCCAACTTCGCGCGCACTGTTTTGCCAAACCTCGCACTGCTGGCCCGGCCGTGTCGGCCTACGCTTCGGGGCTAGCCCGAGCCTCGCTGCCAGCATAGCACTAGCTAGCTCGCACGCACCGCGTTACCGTTTGCATGTTTCGCGTATAAATGTTCGCTCATGCCTTCGCTCACATTTTGTACTCGTTTGACACCTTAGTGCAATCCTCGCTACCTCGATCCATTGCACCCGTAACACTTAAAGCTCAAGGCCCAAATTGTTCAGGATTACTAAAGTTGACCCTTGGGTGGTGGGAAAGCAGAGTAGGAAAGTCGAGGTGTTTGAGGGGTGTAGGGGTTTGGTTTCGCCCAGCTTCTCGCCACACTCAAAACAAAATTCGCTGACTCAGCAAAGCCTAGGGGACGCTCAGGTTTGGTTGCGCGAGTCCCATATTGCACAAATATTACTCTTGCCAGTTTCCCGCACCACCTGTTCCATTCGCTGACTCAAATGTTCTGGCCAATCAGATGGCTTCGTACATTTCGTAACCACAATTCGCCCAGCTAAAGCTGCAAAGCAGTACTCGATCAACCTTACCAAACTTGCCTCGCGCGGCCCGCAATTTGGGCCTTGAGCTTTAACGTCTTTACACGTTACTGATATGTTGGGTTTACCATACCGGAGTCTTAGTGGGTCAGGTATGGAATATCAGCGACGCGTCGAGGTTCAATCAATCAGTGATGGCTCGGCTGAGCCTATTTCAGAATCTTGATTCCCATTAGCTCCGAAATGGCGGGCAGGCCTCGCGCGTAACTCCGAACCATCGCCGCTGCCTGCTGGCTTGGGGACGCCCGCCGCTGTCTGGTTTGGTTCGGTCTGATTTGCACGAATCTCGTTCGTCTTGTCCGCACCGAACCGAAAGTGTGAGACGGATGACCGCTCCCCGTACTAATTGTATCTCTGTACACACCGAACGCTGGCTCAAAAGTACATGTCCCTCTAAGTGCAATATTCCTGATTCCCTGCCTGGAGCACATATGCACATCCCTCCATTGCTGATTTCTACCAAGCATATTCTAGGAACTGCCATGACTCTGGCTGCTCCCTACGTCGGGTAATACCCTGCCACGAGCACCGAATTGAACAAATTCCAATATGTTGACAGCGACACGTTTCGATACGGCAGGGCCAATTCATGACGGTCCCTGGATTCTCAAATGCGAGAGAACAGGACGGTCATTAGCGCGTTGGTAAATAGTACGACTTATTTCCCCTGTGCCGTAACAAAGCCGTCCGTGCTGTAGTTTCCCCCTCTGTCGAGGTGCCTAAACACTGAGAGTCCTTTTTTGTCCTTCAATTCCTTCTTTATAAACCTGTAACATAAAAAATCCCACTGTATGATGCGACACTGCACATTTAGAGGTATTTCCTGGCTGTAAACTGTCGAAACGAACCAGCGTTAATAGTACCCAGCCTGTTTCGGGCAGTCAACTGCAGATGAACCGCGGCGCGACAAGCCTTTTGCTGGTCTCATGCTTAAGCCTACTCGCTCACTTGACTGTCGTCGCTCGCGAGCCTTCGCAACAGCATCTCGCCGCCGCTCGCGAGCCTTCGCAACAGCATCTCGCCGCCGCTCGCGAGCCTTCACAACGGCATCTCGCCGTTCCTCTAGAATCCGGCGATCTGCCGAAATGGCCGCCGGGAACACCAGGATTAACTACCTCCGCTGGTTGCGGCGCGGTGGGCAGCATAGACACCCTTGGGAGCATCTTAGTCCAAGATGATCGGGAGAGGATTAGCTCCCAGCCGTCCGATCAGCAGCCTCACCTGCCTGCGCAGCGGCAACGACCGTGCGATTGCGTGATCAACTCCGCAGGCAGCCCTTTCAGGCGAAGGCTTAGCCAGGCTGCGAGACCGTGCGATTGTGGTTACCATTCTGTTCGCGTCCCCCCACGGCGAAAGCGAGAGTCGAGGAGCTCATTAGACATAGCTGCGGAAACAGAAACGGAAACGGAAACGGAAAAGGAAACGGAACCGGAAACCGAGTGGTACTTGGAGAAGCGGTATTCAAAGTGGCGATACTTCAATTGGCGGTACTTAGAGGGGCAGTATTATATGAGGCGGTACTTAGTGGAAATGACGCCAGTGGAACCGTTAGCAGAGAACCGCACGCGGAGAGTGGACCCGTTGCAGCATTTCCAGTACTACGAGGGCGGGTGGGACCCCAGCAGCAAGGACTACTGGGCGGTACGTCATGTACACGTGTTTGACATGTCATGTATGCGGGTTTTCAGGCGTGTCACAACCATGGCACGCGGAGAATGGACCCTCTCCCGCTGCAGCGCTTGCAGTTCTACGAGGGCGGGTGGGACCCCAGCAGCAAGGACTATTGGGCAGTGAGCGGTACGTAGGCTAGTCGGTTTTGTTAGCAGCATCAGGAGGGCCTTAACAGCAAGCTCTAAGAGGGTGGTATGTCATATAAGCGGGTTTTGAGACGTTTTGGAGTGGTATGTCTCACGACCTTTGTAGGAAGTTTTGCGAGGGGGTGTGGTGTGGTGTGGTGTGGTGTGGTGTGGGGCTCTCAGTGACAAGTCCTATTGGGCGTAGGCATATGAATGCATATGCAGGTTCCCGTGTCCCCCTCGTTTGACTGTGCATGTGCGCTCCACTCACGCAATGTGCTTTCTTGGAGGGTGTTGGGACGTTTCAAAGGTAGCGCTCTCTCTAATCCGTCCTCTTCCCTGCCCTAGCCTCTCCTCCCTTCCTTTCTTCCTCCCTTCCTTTCTTCCTCCATCATCCGTCACCCTCTCTCTTCTCCCTGTCCCTCTCTTCCTTTCCTCCTTCCCTTCCATTCTTCCCCCATCCCTCCACTTCCACCCCCACACCCATTCTCCCCCGATCCCTCCTCCCCCCCGCCCATTCGCCCCCCATTTCTCCCCCCACTTCCCCAATTCCCCCCCAGTCCGTGGCATGGGCGGGGATCTACGGCCTCGTCGTGGGGGCGGCATGGGTCGTACTCGGTATAAGCATCCTCGCTTTCGCGCTCTGCGCGTGCCTCTTCTGCCGCAAGCGGTGGAAGGCCCGTCTGGACGGCGACCAGCCTCAATACACGCCCTTCCAGATCCGCGTGCCACTTGCCGCGCTGCTATTGGCTGCAGTCGTCATCCTGTGAGTGTGCCACTTGCCGCGCTGCTATTGGCTGCAGTCGTCATCCTGTGAGTGTGCCACTTGCCGCGCTGCTATTGGCTGCATTCGTCATCCTGTGAGTGTGCCACTTGCCGCGCTGCTATTGGCTGCATTCGTCATCCTGTGAGTGTGCCACTTGCCGCGCTGCTATTGGCTGCATTCGTCATCCTGTGAGTGTGCCACTTGCCGCGCTGCTATTGGCTGCATTCGTCATCCTGTGAGTGTGCCACTTGCCGCGCTGCTATTGGCTGCAGTCGTCATCCTGTGAGTGTGCCACTTGCCGCGCTGCTATTGGCTGCAGTCGTCATCCTGTGAGTGTGCCACTTGCCGCGCTGCTATTGGCTGCAGTCGTCATCCTGTGAGTGTGCCACTTGCCGCGCTGCTATTGGCTGCAGTCGTCATCCTGTGACTGTGCCACTTGCCGCGCTGCTATTGGCTGCAGTCGTCATCCTGTGACTGTGCCACTTGCCGCGCTGCTACTGGCTGAAGTCGTCATCCTGTGAGTGTGCCATTTGCCGCGCTGCTATTGGCTGCATTCGTCATCCTGTGAGTGTGCCACTTGCCGCGCTGCTATTGGCTGCAATCATCATCCTCTGAGTGTGCCATGCCACGTGCCGTGCTCTCATTCGCTGCAACCGCTATTGATTCCATGCTTCTACTGCATCTGAACCTTTGCTTCAAGTGGTGGTCCCCCTGTGCTGCTATCATGCACTTGCACGGCTGCCTGCGTCCCAGTTTTGAGGCGCCTCAAAACTATTGATTCCATGCTTCTACTGCATCTGAACCTTTGCTGCATGCAAGTGGTTCCCTGTGCTGCTATCATGCACTTGCACGGCTGCCTGCGTCCCAGTTTTGAGGCGCCTCAAAACTATTGATTCCATGCTTCTACTGCATCTGAACCTTTGCTGCATGCAAGTGGTTCCCTGTGCTGCTATCATGCACTTGCACGGCTGCCTGCGTCCCAGTTTTGAGGCGCCTCAAAACTATTGATTCCATGCTTCTACTGCATCTGAACCTTTGCTTCAAGTGGTGGTCCCCCTGTGCTGCTATCATGCACTTGCACGGCTGCCTGCGTCCCAGTTTTGAGGCGCCTCAAAACTATTGATTCCATGCTTCTACTGCATCTGAACCTTTGCTGCATGCAAGTGGCCCCCCTGTGCTGCTATCATGCACTTGCACGGCTGCCTGCGTCCCAGTTTTGAGGCGCCTCAAAACTATTGATTCCATGCTTCTACTGCATCTGAACCTTTGCTGCATGCAAGTGGCCCCCCTGTGCTGCTATCATGCACTTGCACGGCTGCCTGCGTCCCAGTTTTGAGGCGCCTCAAAACTATTGATTCCATGCTTCTACTGCATCTGAACCTTTGCTGCATGCAAGTGGCCCCCCTGTGCTGCTATCATGCACTTGCACGGCTGCCTGCGTCCCAGTTTTGAGGCGCCTCAAAACTATTGATTCCATGCTTCTACTGCATCTGAACCTTTGCTGCATGCAAGTGGTTCCCTGTGCTGCTATCATGCACTTGCACGGCTGCCTGCGTCCCAGTTTTGAGGCGCCTCAAAACTATTGATTCCATGCTTCTACTGCATCTGAACCTTTGCTTCAAGTGGTGGTCCCCCTGTGCTGCTATCATGCACTTGCACGGCTGCCTGCGTCCCAGTTTTGAGGCGCCTCAAAACTATTGATTCCATGCTTCTACTGCATCTGAACCTTTGCTTCAAGTGGTGGTCCCCCTGTGCTGCTATCATGCACTTGCACGGCTGCCCGCGTCCCCTGCTCGCTCCCTGTGTCATCCAGGGTGGGGACGGTGCTGTTGGTGGCGGGGGGGACGCTATTCCACGGCACAGCACCTATCACAGCACCTATCACAGCACCACGCAGTTCACCTATCACAGCACCACGCAGTTCACCTATCACAGCACCACGCAGTTCACCCTCGCCACCACACAAGCCCATGCAATTCTTGAGGCAGCTCAAGTTTTTTCACGTTCTCCTTTCCCCAATCCCTGTCCGCTTCCCCTTTTGAGACGTCTCAAAAGTCGCCACCACACAAGCCCATGCAATTCTTGAGGCAGCTCAAGTTTTTCACTTTCTCCTTTCCCCAATCCCTGTCCGCTTCCCCTTCTTCCTCCCCTTCCCGCGTTCCCTGCTTGCTCCCTGAGTCATCCAGGGTGGGCTTCGCACTGCTAGTGGCAGGAGGCGTGTTATTCCACAGCACCTACCTCAGTGTCACGCAGTTCACTCTCGCCACCACGCAAGCCCTCTCGATCCTTGAGTCAGCTTCCCCCCCATTCCCTTCCCGATTCCCCTCTCCGCTTTCCTCATCCAGGGTGGGCTTCGCACTGCTAGTGGCGGGAGGCGTGTTATTCCACAGCACCTATCTCAGCGCCACGCAATTCACCCTCGCCACCACACAAGCCCTCGTGGCGGCCACTCACAACCTCTCAGCCGCACTGCAACGCTCTGCCAATACCACGCTCTTTGATGCTGTGATTCCCAGTAAGGCCACACTATTCTCACTTGTCTGTTCCAAGGTGCGTTTTGAGTCGAATCAAAAGTCATCTCGTTACAATGGCACACGACACATTCTCTGCCAATACCACGCTCTTTGATGCTGTGATTCCCAGTAAGGCCACACTATTCTCACTTGTCTGTTCCAAGGTGCGTTTTGAGTCGACTCAAAAGTCATCTCGTTACAATGGCACACGACACATTCTCTGCCAATACCACCCTCTTTGATGCTGTGATTCCCAGTACATATTCTCGCTTGTCTGTTCCACATATAGTCACTCCTTGTATAGTTACATGTCTGTTCCACTCACAACCTCTCTCTCGCCCTGCAACGCTCTGCCAACACCACCCTCTTTGATGCCGTGATTCCCCGTATGTTGCCACGCTCCCTTGCCCCCACTCTCCCTTAACCCCACTCTCCCTTGCCCCTTGCCCCCACTCTCCCTTGCCCCTTGCCCCCACTCTCCCTTGCCCCTTGCCCCCACTCTCCCTTGCCCCTTGCCCCCACTCTCCCTTGCCCCTTGCCCCCACTCTCCCTTGCCCCTTGCCCCCACTCTCCCTTGCCCCTTGCCCCCACTCTCCCTTGCCCCTTGCCCCCACTCTCCCTTGCCCCTTGCCCCCACTCTCCCTTAACCCCACTTTCCCTTGCCCCCACTGCACTTTCCTCCCACTCCCCATTCCTCCAATTCTCTTTCCTCCCACTCTCCTTTCCTTCAACTCTCCTTTCGCTCTCACATGTCTGTTCCACTCACAACCTGTCTCTCTCTCTCTCTCGCTGCAACGCCCTGCCAACACCTGCCAACGCCGCCACACAGCAGGCGGTGATACACAGAGCAGCAGAGGCAGAGAGCATGGCAGTTGACATCCAGGCACGGACTGTGAACAGCATAATGGGTTCCCCCTCTGACCCTTCCTCTCCCTCTTCTGTCCCTCCCTCTCCCTCCCCTGTCCCTCTCCCCCCGCCCAGCCGCCACACAGCAGGCGGTGCTGCAGGGAGCAGCGCACGAAGAGAGCATGGCAGATGACATTCAAGCACGCATTGTGAACAGCATTGAGCGGCTGGACGGCTACGTGAAGATCGTGTGCGTTGGTTGGTCTAGGGATGGGTGCATGCGCGGTGGGATGGGATGGGATGAGGTGCAAGATCGATGACTTGTGTGCTGGGAATGGACTGATGGGAGGGGAGGGGTTGTGAACAGCATTGACTGGCCGGATGGATACGTGAAGATCGTGTGCGTTGGTTGGTGCATGCATGCATGGTGGGATGGGGGTGGGTTAGATGGAAAACTCGAGGCAAGGTGATGGGATTGTGAACAGCATTGACCGGCTGGATGGCTATGTTCAGATCGCATGCGTTGGTGCATGCATGATGGGATGGGTGCATGGTGGGATGGGTGCATGGTGGGATGGGTGCATGATGGGATGGGTGCATGATGGGATGGGTGCATGGTTGGATGGGTGCATGATGGGATGGGTGCATGGTGGGATGGGTGCATGGTGGGATGGGTACATGGTGGGATGGGTGCATGATGGGATGGGTGCATGGTGGGATGGGTGCATGGTGGGATGGGTGCATGATGGGATGGGTGCATGATGGGATGGGTGCATGATGGGATGGGTGCATGGTGGGATGGGTGCATGGTGGGATGGGTGCATGGTGGGATGGGTGCATGGTGGGATGGGTGCATGGTGGGATGGGTGCACGGTGGGATGGGTGCATGGTGGGAGTGGGCAGTCAGATGGATATGAATACTGGGCTGGCAAGGGCGACTTTTGGGACGTCTCAAAAGTCAAATGGATGTGAATACTGAGTTGGGAAGGGAATGATGCTGTGCTTCGCCAAAGTGTCAGACCGCCACCCACTGTGACACCCTCCCATTCCTGCACCTTACCCCGGAACCTTGTTGGCAGCACAATCACCTATTGTGAGCTGCTTCAGTCTATCACACAAACTATAATTTGTTTCGTTGTCTTAAGAACAACTAGAGTTCGTTTCGTTGTCCTAAGAGCAACTAGAGATAAGGCCTCCGCAACCCACGTGTCGGATACTGACAACAAGTTCCTTCTGTGAGCCGCGTGAGTCAGTCTATTGAGCCGTGTGAGTCAGTCTATTGAGCCGCGTGAGTCAGTCTATTGAGCCGCGTGAGTCAGTCTATTGAGCCGCGTGATTCAGTCTATTGAGCCGCGTGAGTCAGTCTATTGGGCCGCGTGAGTCAGTCTATTGAGCCGCGTGAGTCAGTCTATTGAGCCGCGTGAGTCAGTCTATTGAGCCGCGTGAGTCAGTCGATTGAGCCGCGTGAGTCAGTCTATTGAGCCGCGTGAGTCAGTCTATTGAGCCGCGTGAGTCAGTCTATTGAGCCGCGTGAGTCAGTCTATTGAGCCGCGTGAGTCAGTCTATTGAGCCGCGTGAGTCAGTCTATTGAGCCGCGTGAGTCAGTCTATTGAGCCGCGTGAGTCAGTCTATTGAGCCGCGTGAGTCAGTCTATTGAGCCGCGTGAGTCAGTCTATTGAGCCGCGTGAGTCAGTCTATTGAGCCGCGTGAGTCAGTCTATTGAGCCGCGTGAGTCAGTCTATTGAGCCGCGTGAGTCAGTCTATCACACAAACGCACATCAAATTCTGAGGCACCCCCAAAGATGAGCCCAAAACGCACGTGAGTCAGTCTATCACACAAACGCACATCATATTCTGAGGCACCCCCAAAGATGAGCCCAAAACGCACGTGAGTCAGTCTATCACACAAACGCACATCAAATTCTGAGGCACCCCCAAAGATGAGCCCAAAACGCACGTGAGTCAGTCTATCACACAAACGCACATCAAATTCTGAGGCACCACCAAAGATGAGCCCAAAACGCACGTGAGTCAGTCTATCACACAAACGCACATCAAATTCTGAGGCACCCCCAAAGATGAGCCCAAAACGCACGTGAGTCAGTCTATCACACAAACGCACAACAACCTCCCCAACCCACCCCGCGGCCCTGAGACGCTGTCTGCCCTGCTCCTTTCCTCCCCCCCCCTCCCCTCCACAGCACCATCGCCATCCTTGTCATTGGCTCGCTCACTGTCTTGTGAGCTGTGTCTTGAGTCTGCTCACTCACTGCTTGTGAACTGTGTCTCACATACCCACAACAACCCCCGCCAATCCTTCGCCTCTCCTCCCCCCACCTCCCCTCCACAGCACCATCACCATCCTTGTCATTGGCTCGCTCACTGTCTTGTGAGCTGTGTTTTGAGTCTGCTCACTCACTGTCTTGTGAACTGTGTCGGTCACACAGACTCATGTCAACCCCCCACCCACCCTGAAACACTGTCCGTTCGGTTCCCCACCACCATGCTCCCTTACCTTCCCTCCACAGCAGCATCACCATCCTCGACATTGGCTCACTCACTGCTTGTGAACTGTGTCTCACAGACCCACAACAACCCCTGTCAATCCTTCGCCTCTGCCCCCACCCACCTCCCTCCACAGCACCATCACCATCCTCGTCATTGGCTCACTCACTGCTCTGCTCGTGCTGCTGGGATTAGGTGCGTAGTGCTGTTGGTGAGATGTGTGGGGGAATGCGTTGCTGGGATTAGGTGAGTGCTGCACAAGATGTGCTGCTCTGCTCGTGCTGCTGGGAGTAGGAGCGTAGTGCTGTCGGTGAGATGTGTGGGGGAATGCGTTGCTGGGATTAGGTGAGTGCTGCACAAGATGTGCTGCTCTGCTCGTGCTGCTGGGAGTAGGAGCGTAGTGCTGTCGGTGAGATGTGTGGGGGAATGCGTTGCTGCTGCTGGTGAGTGGCAAGGGGGACTGGTACTGATTCGACGCTGAGTGCTAGGGGTTAACCTTTTCAGTGCAGCTTGTTGGGGGCAAGGCAAGTGACAGGTAGGAGGACAGGGCGTGTTGCTGGTTGCGTCGAGGTGCTGGGCATGGTGAGAGGTGGACTGTGGGCGCTGATCAGGTGCAGTGTGCCATTGTAACGAGGTGGCTTTTAAATCGATCAAAAAATCATCGCAAGACAAGGTGCTGGGCGTGGTGATAGGCGGAGTGTGGGCTTTTGAGTCGACTCAAGGTGACTTTTGACTTTTGAGTCGACTCAAGGTGACTTCTGACTTTTGAGTCGACTCAAAAGTCACCTCTAAAATCATCGCAAGACAAGGTGCTGGGCGTGGTGATAGGCGGGCGGAGTGTGGGCTCTGAACAGATCAGGGTGCTTCTGAGTCGACTGAATAAAAACAAGCCACTGCAGGTAATTCTAGAGCCGTCTTAGAAGTCCCCTGCTTACCGAGGCTTCCTGTTGAAACCCTGCTTACCGAGACTTCCTGTTGAAACCCTTGCACACGTGTCATGTCATGGCAATGGTTCGAACAAAACCCTCACAATCCGAACCCTCGTAATCCAAAACATTGCAAGCTCAGCAACACGTGTCATCTCATTGCAAGTCATCGCAATTCTAGTAACCAACCACTCCTACGTCCACCCTTACCCCTCCCCGCTCTCTCCCTCCTGATGCATGCTGCTGTGACTGCCTCCAGCGGTCTGGTCTGGTCTGTTGCACACATGTATGTAGGCGACTGGGGCGTCTCTAAAGTACTTCCCCTTTGCGCCCCCCCCTGCTCTTTCCCCCCCACCCATGCTGCAGTAGACGACTTTTGAGACGTCTCAAAACTCCCGATGCATGCTGCTGTGGCCGCCTCCAGTGGTCTGGTCTGGTCTGTTGCACACATGTATGTAGGCGACTGGGGCGTCTCTAAAGTACTTCCCCTTTGCGGCCCCCCCTGCCCTTTGCCCCCCACCCATGCTGCAGTTGCCGGCTTCTTACAACGGGCTGTTGCATCACAATCCTAGTAGCAGAGATATAGGCGGCTGCGGCGTCTCAAAAGTCCTGCTGTATTCGTGTGACTTTTGAGAAGTAGCAGAGATATAGGCGGCTGCTGCGTCTCAAAAGTCCTTTCTCCTTGAACCACCCCGCTCTTTCCACCCACTCCGCCCATGCTGCCCTGCAGTTGCCGGCTTCTTACAGTGGGCTGTTGCATCACACATGTAAGAGTCTTTTAGCAGAGTTGTTTTTACAGATTATTTCGTTGCACATGTAAGGGCGTTAAAGGTGTATGGACAGGAAAACTATGTATACATACATCTATATAGTTTGATAAATAGATAGATATGTATACATATATGTTTCATTGTTTCCTGTGCTATTGTGCTTCCCTTCTGTCCGCTTTTAAAACAGACTCGTTAGCCTTATTTGGGCTATGGGGTTCATCACATGGTGTACTGTCACCCTCTGCCTCCTCTCCACTCTGTAAGTGCTGCTCCTCGTGGTATGCTTAATTGCTGCTACTGGTCGTATGCATAAGTGCTGCTACTAATCGCATGGTTAAGTGCCACTACTCGTGGTATGCTTACGTGCTGCTACTGGTAAACTCCACCCCTCTCCACCGTGCTCCACCACTCTCAATCCCTTGCCACCCCTCACATCCAGCTTTGACGGGGACACGAGTGCGGCCATGTGGCAGGTGTCACAGCAGGACCCAGCAGGCAACTCCACCACCATGCAGCAGTGGCTGCCTCGTGAAGCAACACCTGCTCTGAGACGTCCCAAAACAGCTCTCAACCCCTCTTCGCCCCTCTCCACCCCTCTTCACCCCTCTCCACCGTGCTCCACCGCTCTCCACCCCTCCTTTGCAGCTTTGCGGGCGACACGAGTGCGGCCATGTGGCAGGTGTCACAGCAGGACCCAGTAGGCAACTCCACCATGCAGCAGTGGCTGCCTTGCGCCCGGGCAAGCGACGTGCGCCAGGCCATCAACACCACCGTGACTGCTCTCGCTGCATCGGTCGCCCTGCTCAACACCTCTGTGGTCACGACCTACCCCCAGGTGAGCACCTCTCAGTTCACCCACTCAGGTCACCCATGGGTGTGTAGCAATGGCTGCCGTGTGTCTGGGCAAGCGACGTGCGCCAGGTCTAAAGGCCACCGCCACTGCCATTTCTGCATCGAGTGATTTGCGCAACACGTCTCTTGTGACTCACTACCCCCAGGTGAGCACAGATTGTAACAGTGCCTGCCATGCCATGTGTCTGGGCAAGCGACGTGCGCCAGGTCTAAACACCACCGCCACTGCCGTCTCTGCATCGAACGCAACACTTTCTTGCCACGTCCTACCCTCAGATATAAGCACCCATGCATTGTCTGGTTCTGAACCCTACGTGTAATGCTTGAGAGCTGATGGTGATGCAAGAAGAAAGAGCTTTGAAGCGCCTCACAAGTTGGGACATGATCTGAGGCGCCCCAACAATCGTCTGTGAGGCCACCATGCATCTTTCCTTCTTCTCCTGCCGTTCCTCTTCTCCCCTCATGTGATTGGCAGGTGTTGACTGCAGTCAACGCCACTGGCATCTGCAACCCCTTTGCGGGCGGCGGCGCTGACCTCAGCTACGACGTCACCTCCTGCCCGCCCGGCACTCTGCCGCCCGCCGCATTTTTCAAGGTGAAGTTTCCAGACTCCTTCAACCCAGAACTTTGCAGCCCGCTGCACTCTTTCGTGCGGGTGGTATCCTGAGACATGTCAAACAAACACTTAACAGCCCGCGGCAATTTTCCTGGTAATGAATTACAGGCCTTTCTAACTGACACTGGCTTTCTAGCTGACACTCTGCTGCCCGGATTCTTCTAGGTTATTCCGTTCTAGGACAGTGGATATCGCTCTGGGTTTGAGTCTACTGAGATATTCACGTGGATAAGGTCTGTTCAGGTGCCTCATCAACGGATGTGGGGTTAGGCAGCGTGGGTTTGGACTGTGTGTGTTACTCCGTGTACGTTTATGCATGCTGTGTGGGGTCAGCCAAGTTTGGGTCACTCGATGTGGGGCTGTTAAATCCAATCTTTTCACAGCAGGTCTCCCTCATGCCTCCCCCTTCCTTCGTGCCTTTCCCTTCCTGCCCGCCCTCTTCCCTCGCGCACCTCATGGCCTCCTCCCTTCCCCTCCTCCCCTCCCGTCCCCTTACAGTCTCTCACCGCGTTCACCTGTACAAACAAGCAGCATGTGCCAGGTGAATGTTTCCCAATGGAAACAGTCATGAGGCTGCAAGTGCCCCAAGCAGCCCTTGCTGACCTTCAGACTGCCTCTGCTGCCCTCACACACCTCATAACCTCCCTCCTGCCTCCCTCTCCTTCTATATTGGAGTGACTTTTGAGAATTCTCAAAAGGTGTGACTTTTGAGAATTCTCAAAAGGAGTGACTTTTGAGAATTCTCAAAAGTCACTCCAAGCAGCCCTTGCTGACCTTCAGACCGCCTCTGCTGCCCTCACACACCTCATAACCTCCCTCCTGCCTCCCTCGCCTTCCCTTACAGGCACTCACCACACTCGCCTGTACGAACGGTACATGCCAGGTGCATTTCCCCAACGGAACAGTCATGCTGCTGCAAGTGCCCTCACCCATTCCCCCCACACCCCCTCCCACACCCCCTCCCCCATCCCCTCCCCCATCCCCCCCCCTCTCTTCCAGGCACTCACCACACTCACCTGTACGAACGGTACATGCGAGGTGCATTTCCCCAACGGAACAGTCACGCTGCTGCAAGTGCCCCCAGCGGCGCTCTCTGCCCTGCAGAATACCTCTGCTGCGCTCACACAGCTCATAGACTCCGTGCCTGTGCTGCGTCAGATCGCCAACTGTACCTACGTGAAGGAGATCTGTGAGGTACGTCTCTTGACTTGCATTGACTTGGGTTGACTGTTGAGTTGAAAGGCTGCGCTCACAAGGCTCATAAGACTCCGTGCCTGTGCTGCGTCAGATCGCCAACTGTACCTACGTGAAGGAGATCTGCGAGGTATGAGTGTTGACTTGCATTGACTTGGGTTCACATGGGTTGACTTAAGTTGACTTTTGTCGAGTTGGCTTGACTGTTGAGTCGAAAGGCTGCCCTCACACAGCTGGTGGCCTCCGGGCCAGTGCTACTTCAGATTGCCATCTGCACCTTATGAAGGAAATCTGCGAGCTGCGTGGGTTGGCTTGGGTTGACTGGCTTGGGTTGACTGGGTTTGACTTGGTTGACTTGGGCTGACTTGATTGACTTGGGTTGACTTGGGCATCCTCCCCTATCCTTCCCCCATCCTCCCCCATTCTCGTATCTCCCCTCCCCCATTCTCGTATCTCCCCTCCCCCATTCTTGTATCTCCCCTCCCCCATTCTCGTATCTCCCCTCCCCCTCCCAGTATGCATCAGGGCTAGCAAGCAACATGGAGAGGGATTTCAACATGCTGTGGTGGGGCTTCATCGTCATCTCAGTCGCCTCCATGCTACTCGCGCTCGCCCTCCCCGTCTACATCTTCCGTTCCGCCCACCCGCAAGCCGACCCACTACCCCATCCACTAGCCCACGTGCAAGCCCAACCGCTGGCCCTGCCTCCCGGGGAGTCCTTCCTCTCTTCTCCTCCCCACACTCCTCCTCCCCATGATAGCCCTTGTCCGCCTTGTGCTGCGGATGCTCCGGATTCTGCTGCCAGTGGCTCGGCTGGTGCTGCTGATGGGATGTCTCACATGGAAGATCTGCAGTTTGAGGATGACAAGGACCAATCGTCGCTCGCCAGGTGTGCCGAGACTTGTTTCTGTGTTTCTTCCTTTGTTTCTATGCTCCTTCCCTTGTTTGTATGTCCATTTCCTTGTTCCTGAGCTCTTTCCTGGGTTTCTGTGCTATTTTTTTTCTTGCTGTGCTCTTTCTTTCCATCTGTGCTCTTTTCCTTGATTCTGTGTTCTTGTCTTTCTTTCTTTCTGCGCTCTTTCTTTTCACCCGGTGCTCATTTTCTTGTTTGCATAATTCCACTCCTATCCTATCCTCTGTCCTGTTGCCACCATCTCAATTCCCAGGGACAATGCACCTGACCTCTCTCCTCTAACATCCACATCCGTATCCTCTTCAGGGGTTGACTCTCTTCCGTACACATCATTGTCCTCCTTCACAAGGCTCAATTAATTGGCTTGCCCATTGCTGACTATGGAAGGATTATTGACTCACTAAAGGGGGGACTGACAATGTGGGTGGGTCATTACTCTGAAGAATGAAAAGAAGCATGATTATATTCTATTTAATTTACACAAGATGGGGTATCCAGTCCTCTTGACAGCTGCCTTTTGGGCGGGTGATGCTTTCCAATTGAAATTCGTATGCTATTGAATTACAACTGAAACTGAATTGTATGTTCCATGTTATGAACAGTGATGCTCCCGACAACTGCAAGCGGAACAGGTGAAAGTCGCACAGCTCATGTCTCCTTCGTTGAAGCTCACCACCTGACGCATGCAAACAAGACCACCGCCGTGGATTGCGCGTGGACTGACACCACCGCTCTCCCACCAAGCTCTCTCATAATCAGCATCTACGCTTTCTGCCGTTCGATTCCTTCGTCTAGTAGCCACTTTTCGTTTCCGGTGACGCGAACAGCTATTACCGTTTTTGTTCCTTTCGATTCCATATCAGCAGAATTCAGCACAGTCGTCTTGAAGCTTTGCGAAGTTAGGTGACTCGATCCTTCCGTGCTTTCCCGTCCTGTGTTGGCGCCATCTTGACGACGCTGCTGTTTTTTTTTTACTTCAAAAAATTGTTGTACCTAATCGTCCCTTCCAATCTCTCGCGGTTGATCAATCCTTAGCGATGTCGTCAGCAGCAGAGACTCCCGCAGATGTCCAGCCTCCTCGCAACCTGTCCGCTAAGCCAGAATTGGGACCCTTGTCGTCGAAAATACTGCCTCACCTATTTAAATTGTGAGCTAGTGACAGCCAGCCGCATCTCCTTTTCCGTACTTTTTCTGACAATGGACCATTACTTGCTCTCGTGCACGTTGGCAGGTATGGCTGCACCGCAAGAGATGAGGACTTTGAAATTTACTCTCCGGACGCGAAGTTTGACGATCCCTTAATGTCAGCTAATGGGTATGTCGTTTTTTGCACTGCAGGCTCACCACCCTCGTTTTGTGAATGAATTGCTGAAACCAGCAGTTGTATGTCTCTTTTCTGCCTGTATCCTACACTTTTAGGTTGAATCAGATCAAGTCAGCCTTTTACTCCATGCAAGTGGTAGGTCAGCTCGCCCACTTCATTCTTCTTTGGTGTTCTCGCACCAAGTTCAGCTGAGTTGTCATTGTTTGACATCATTATTCGTGTGTTTTTTCAGCTTTTTCAAGAGGGGAGAATAGTGGAGTACACTTTAGAGGAGACATCAACCGGAGATGGCTCAGGAATGGCAAGTTGATACAGGGTGTCATGTTGTGAGATTGAGATTCAAGCAAATAAGTGTGTTCAGTTCGTTGAGTGAATGATCATTGGTTGGCTGTTTTGTAAATGGCAGGTGGTCATGGACAATAAGCAGAATTACAAGGTCTGGGGCAGGCCTTTTGATGTCGACTCGAGAATCCAACTCAAGGTATCAAAAGCACGATCCCTTTTCATGCTAGTTTTGAAGGTCCTGTATGGCTGGCAGTGTAGGCTCAATCATGTGACTTTATTTTCCCTGTATGCAGGTTGAAGGAGGGAAGGTGGTTCACCACGAAGATTTGTGAGCCCTAAACCCCAAATTCCTACTTTTTTTCTCATGTGGTTTGAGATTTTGGGCATGGGAAGTATATCTTGCTTTGTGCTTATTACGTATGTTGCACATCTCATGTGCAGGTGGAATAAGAAACCTTTATGGTCAGATCCTTCCAAGGGCTTCATTGGATGGTTGGGCTATTCTTGGAGACGAAGTGCGATGATTACAACAGATGTGCTTATGGGTAGGGGAAAGGATCCAAAAGGGAGGTCATGATCAGGTACCAGTAGCAGGTTTTGTTGCTGCACTCATTTGAGCGGTAGATGAGCATTATCAACCAAATGTCTTCTTCCCAATATCTCTGAAGTGGGAAAGGCCTGCAAATCTCACTACTTCAATCACAGGATATCAGGATTCAGGATGGCTACATACAATTAGCATCAAAATACAGGATATTTAGAATGGCTACTTAAGCGCCTGGAAAACTCTCCACAATAACAGAATATCAGAATGGCTACCACAGCACAATTATCATCAACATACAGGATATTTGAATGGCTACAGCAGCAGAATTATCATCTAGTCAACAAGCTTGCGCCCTATAGATAATTACAGTTGTGCCGTATCTGAATTGTACATCTACCATCACACAAGTAAGGGCATGTTCCTACGGCCCCTTGTCAGGGCATCCTCTTATCAGCTTCGCATATTTGTTGTACGCACGTTATAGAACGCCTCTTGTCAGGCTTGTACCGTGAACGCGCACGAATGAAATCGATCGCACCATGTCGCTCAACAACGCGGAACCCACTGTGCACGTCCACAGAATCGCGTAAGCGTCAAAGCATGAGTCTCGCCCGTCACTTTAACCTGCGCACGACTGTGGCGTGGCGAATGTGCAACGGGAAGCTTACGTGCTCATTTTTCACGATTCCCAACATTTATCTCAATTCCCGCCACACAGCCATCCAGTGCACCAGCACGTTCGACACGTTCCACAAACCACAGCAAACAAGGAACCAACAACAACATCGAAGTGCATAGATCTGTCAAAGCATACAAAACCGTGACATAGATTAGGGACATTATCATCAATCTTCAGCAGCTAGCCATGGCACGCAAACGCAAAGGATCAGTTCGCCCAGCAGACGACGAAGGTTGGAGTGTGGAGGACCTAGCCTATGTCAAATGCATGAATGCCGAAATCGCGGCCGGAAAACCAACCGCCCGTCCGTTACGTAGCGTGGGAGCCGCGAGCTCAACCCCGAAGCAAGCGACAGTCTTGCCCCGTGAATACGACACGGACGACGAATACATTGAGAAGGATTCGGACGATGAGGACGATGCTGCCGGCCCCGATCGCGACGATGCCGTTGCCGCCTGGCACGGCATCGCTGAATACAACGGCCCTGATCAGGACGATGCAACAGCTGCTCAAGCCGATCACGATCAATCTGCGGCTGCCTCGCGCTCTGACGGGAAGCGGAAGGGAAAGTCTGCAGTGCGCAGCCCTGCTAAGGTGAACAGCAGCCCGGGGCCTGGCGCTCGTATTGAGTGGACGCTGAAGGAGTCGACCATCCTAGTTGCAGCTCGTTGGTTCACGAAGGACGAGCTGCAGCAGATGACTGGGAAGCAAGGCTCCCAATACTGGCTGCGTCTCTGCGAGCACATTAAGCTCCAGCACCCCGACTGGAGCCGCAACGCTACCGCGTGCACCAACCAGTGGAAACGGTTGAAGGCCTTGTGGAAGCAGGTGACGAAGGGGGACTCTGCGTCGGGTGGGGCAACTGTCATCAAGCCCCCGTGGTGGGAGTGGATGGTCCTTTTCTATAAGGACACTGCAGCGGCGGACCCGCACGCACTGGATGGTGGCGGTGCTGACGACGTTACCGTCGATCCAGGCCTGAACATCCCTAAGCCCGCGAAAACCGACGCTACGACTACAACATGTGAGTTATTCAGAACGGGGATGTGACTAAGTTGTAGTTCACCGTTTGCTACTGAACCAAAGTACACAATCACCCTCGCGATTTCAAACAAGGCATTTCAAATTGTGTACACTTTTTCCACCCCAATGCCTATGTGCCTGCAGGCCGCGGCACACCCCCGAGCGCAAAACGTCGCATCAACGAGACAGCAACTATGGCGGCTGCTCAACTTTTGGCCGACACTCTCACGCGATGCTCAGAGGAGGGCGTCTCCCAGATCACCGGAGTAATCCGGGAGTGGATGGCAAGCCAGCAGTCTCAAACTAGTCGCCCGCTTCGCTTCTCCCGCGGACGTGCTGGCGGTGACAACGCATGGCCGGACGCAGATAATGCCACGCTCAGCGACGAGGTTGAGGAGTGGCGGTGCTGACGACGTCGTTTAAGGTATGCGTCATGCAGTGCCATTCCGAGCCTTTTACGGCGTTCCTTCAGTTCGAACGGCGTGACAATGTCACACGCCTCCCACTTATACTCGGCGAGTTCTCCGCGCGTCCACCACGGGTCCCGGGTGAGTGAAATAGCCGCCCATCTGATGTTTGGGGTCTTCATGCGTGGCCCTGCCATCCCAATGCCCATATTGTGCAGGATAACCACACAACTGGCGCCGGCGAGAACCCGCCAGAGCGCACAATCGTGACGGCCGGCGAACAGCCGGTACCGGCCCTTGAACTGGCCGATCGTGCGCTCCACGGACATGCGGGTTGCAGATTGGCAGTAGTTGAATGTCTGCTGCCACTCGAGCATGAGGCGGCCAGTCGGAGCGTGCAATGGCGTGAGGCAATAGTCGCGGAGGGGATAAGCTGCATCGCCGACTAGCTGGTATGGGGCGATGTCACCATTTTCCAGTCGTTTGTAGAGGTTGGATTGTATGAACACCCGCTGGTCATGAGCTGTGCCCGAAAAGCCTATCAAATAATCCCAGATAATTCCTCTAGCGTCGCATGTTACTTGCAGCTGTACAGCATACTGTGATTTGCGCGTATAATACTCCGACCGATGCCCTTCCATTCCCCGGATCTGGACATGGGTGCCATCAATGGCACCAATAACCGCTGGAACACCTTTGATGCTTTTAAATTCCTCCGCCATGACCCGCATCTCGTCTTGCGTTGGAAATCGGACCCAGGCCTTCTTAAAAACGCGCGGGAAATTCTGCAAAAACAAATCAACAAGCCTATGACATAGCGTTTTAGGGACCCCGAACCAGAAAGCAAGATCGATGTACGCCATGGCGCTCGCAAAGTATTTTATTGGGATCAGAATAGCTACTCGGATAGGCAGTGCGTGCCTATGTTGTCAGATTTATATGACATAGCTACTGTAGGCTATAGTGGGGTAGCACATATGGGGTACAGTTTTCTAGGGTTTGCTTCTTGTACCCAACTTTCACTTAGTCATTTCATTCCTCGTTTCTTATCATGGTATCGAGCAGGTTCCCTAGTGGGAACGATTCCTAGGGCCCACCACCACGAAATTTTTTTTTTTTCCTGCCCGGAGCGCGTTTTGCGCCGGCCCGAGTCGCGCCGCCCTTTCGGCCCGTCGCGCCCGTCGCGCCCGTCGCGCCCATCGCCACCTACCTCCGCGGCCCCGCCACCTACCTTCGCGGCCCCGCCACCTCACTGTGCGGCCCCGCCACCTACCTCCGCGGCCCCGCCACCTACCTCCGCGGCCCCGCCACCTACCTCCGCGGCCCCGCCACCTACCTGTGCGGCCCCGCCACCTACCTGTGTGGCCCCGCCACCTACCTTCGCGGCCCCGCCACCTCACTGTGCGGCCCCGCCACCTACCTCCGCGGCCCCGCCACCTACCTGTGCGGCCCCGCCACCTACCTTCGCGGCCCCGCCACCTCACTGTGCAGCCCCGCCACCTACCTCCGCGGCCCCGCCACCTACCTGTGCGGCCCCGCCACCTACCTTCGCGGCCCCGCCACCTCACTGTGCGGCCCCGCCACCTACCTCCGCGGCCCCGCCACTTACCTTTACGGCCCCGCCGCCTCCTCCCAGCGGCCCTGGACGCCGCCCTCTCAGCGGCCCCGCCGAGCCGCCCAGCAGCCAAGCCGCCCAGCCGCCGAGCCGCCCAGCAGCCGAGCCGCCCAGCAGCCGAGCCGCCCAGCAGCCGAGCCGCCGAGCCGCCCAGCCGCCGAGCCGCCCTGTCCGCAGCCGAGCCGCCCAGCAGCCGAGCCGCCCCGCCGCCGAGCCGCCCAGCCGCCGAGCCGCCGAGCCGCCCTGCAGCCGAGCCGCCCGAACCGCCCTGTCCGGTAAGAGCAGCGCCTCTCTCACAGCACTGCCCTCGCCCTACTGTTTGCACTGCTAGTCTACTGCTGTCATGGCTACCCCTAGTGTCCTCGCTTTTGACGCTGAGGGTCGGGCCATTGACTTTGACGTCTGGATAGATGACCTGCAGCTTTTCTTACAGTGCGACAGAGCAGACGACCTCTCCCTCTTTGACCTCACTTCTGGTGCCTCTCCTGCCCCCGCTGCTGATGCTGACGCCACCGTTCGCTCACAGTGGGCCACGCGCGATGCTGCTGCACGTCTTGCTGTGCGTCGCCACCTCCCTACCTCTGAGCGTGCGCACTTTAGCCAGTACAAGAGTGCTCAGACCTTGTACGACGCTGTAGTTGCACGCTACTCCTCCCCTGCCACTGCTGCACTGAGCCGCCTCATGCTACCGTACCTCTTCCCTGACCTTGCTGCCTTTCCCACAGTCGCTGACCTCATTACGCACCTCCGCTCTAGTGACACTCGCTACCGCGCTGCGCTTCCTGCTGAGTTCTGCGCCAAGAACCCCCCCCCCATGTACATCACCCTCTACTACATAGTCACCCGTCTCCCTGACTCCCCTCGCGTAGTCAAGGACCACTTCCTCTCGGTTTGTCCCACCACTCTCACCGTTGACCTCCTCGAGAAGGCCCTCCTAGCAGCAGAAAAGAGCATAGTCGCTGTAGGAGCCTCTCGTGGTGACCCTCGCACCCCCATCTTTGAGGGGTGTTCCCCCTCCCCTCTTTTGCCCTCTGTTGCCTCTGCTGCTGCGGCCGACCTCG